TCGCTCATGCGAAGTCTGCCAACGAGTGAAGTCAAGTCCTTCACTGCGTGCACCTTTACAGCCTCTACCGGTTCCGGCTGAGTGCTGGGAATCCATCTCAATGGATTTCGTCTTCGGGTTACCCAAAGACGCACGCGGGAATACGGGTATTCTCGTATTTGTTGACAGATTCAGCAAAATAGTACACCTAGTGGCTGTACCAGAGTTAATCACGGCAAGTGGCTGTGCTTGTGTCTTTATTGACACCATCTTGCGACTTCATGGGTTGCCCCGTGAACTCGTATCAGACAGAGATCCACGCTTCACTGCTGATTTCTGGCGTTCCGTGTTCAAATCACTCGGAACGCGCTTGAAGATGTCAACATCTGATCATCCAGAGTCAGATGGTCAGACGGAACGTGCCAATCGTGTCCTTGAAGAGATACTTCAAGGATACGTACACTCCTTTAAGAGTTGGAGTGAGTTTTTGCCGATGGTAGAGTTTGCCATCAACAACTCGGTGCATGCGTCCACGACACATACACCGTTTTACGTGAATGGCTTGCGCCATCCGCGTGTACCCACCTTACTAGAGTGTAACTCTGGTTTAAGGGGGGGAGGGACTCGCGCGAGCAAAAACCGATTTGGTTCACGCTCATCACGCTCTGACGAAGAAGTCATTGCGTTTGATGCCGATATCGATAACATCAATATCGAAGAAGATGATGCCAGTGAGAGTGCGGAAGCCCTCACTGAAGACAATGATCCCAGTGAGAGTGCGGAAGCCCTCACTGAAGAAAAGGTTGTTGTCGCTGCAGTGCGCTCACAGCACACTGAAGCTAACGAGTCATCAGATGAGTTCATACTGGCTCGTGAAACGGTAGTCCGTTTTGTGCAAGACTCCATCGCCGAAGCGGTGGATAAGCAAAAGCAAAACGCTGACAAGAATGGAAGGGCAAACACTCTTTTATTTAATAAAGGTGACTTAGTCCTACTGTCTACGGTTAATCTACCAAAGCATGTAGTGACTAACTTGGGTAGCAGTAAACTACTACCCAAGTACATTGGCCCATTTCGTGTATTGCACCGCCTAGGCAATGCATACACGATCGAGTTACCACGTAAGATGCGAACGCATCCCACGTTTTACGTTGGTCGGCTTAAGCCGTACCATCAGTACGCTGCTTCTTCCGATGAAGAACGCCCTTGCGCTCAAGCATCTCGCAGAGAGCCTTGTGCTCCCGATGGTGGGCATCAACAAGGGTCTGAAGAGCAGTTATCTCAGCCCGAGACCGATCAACAATCCCACGAGCTACCCTTAGCTCGTCACGAAGAGATGTCAGAGATCTCTCGTTCTCAAGCTGAGCAAAGGCAAACTCAGCTCGATGCTTCGAGGCAGTGTCCACCATCTGGAGACGCCTATTCCGCTCATGCTCGAGATCGTCGCGTAACCCTTGCGTTACGCGATCAAAGAAGCTCACGGGAACACACCGATCCACATGATCGTGTGGAGAGCGTCTTTCCTCCTCCTCCACCTCCATTAGAGGACTCTCGCGGTGGCCAGCGCTATCTAGTTGAGCAGCTGTTGAACCACCGCGACGAGAACGGACGTCGGACGAGTTACCTCGTCCGGTGGCGCGGCTATCCCCCGTCCTGGGATTCTTGGGAGCCCCGCTCCCAATTGATGGTTGACGTACTGGGTCTGGTCGAGCAGTACGACGCGACACATCCTGTGCCGCAGAAGGACCGCCGGAGAAAGTCTTCCCGGCACGGTCGTAAAGGGATTTCAGGTTGTCAATCCCTTCGTACATCTCAGTAGAGACACGTACGCGCCACCACGGGCTGGTAAGGAGGTAAGCCTCCTTAGGTGCTCGTGCAGAGTTGTTCACACAACATGGGCACGAGTCTCCCCAAGAGAGGCAGGGTAATCCTTTCTCCCTTGACAGACGATGCAGCTTGTAGCGTGCACCTGTCGGGGTTCGCTTTTCAAACTTATCACGAGCTTTGATAAGTTTGTCGTTCCAAGCGTCACGACCTACATCCTCGAGATTATGGATGTAGGCGTTCCACGCCTGAAGTAGTGAGGGACCATCACGTTTGTGATTCCCACTGTACCATCGATGTCTGAAGAAAGCATCGATGAAGAACTCATGTTCAGCGCGATAGTCTTTCGCGCTGGGGTCAAGGTGATGGATCCTTGACGAATCGAACAATCGTGTTCGATAACGATCACTCGTCGTCGCCGACAAGTGATCCATGACGGATTTAGGAGGCATCCATGCCTTTTTTTCTGGAGCGAGACGCAACACATTGCGGTCCCGCTCTTCCTGCGACGTGCCGACAGAAGTACTGGCACCTCGCTGTGAAGTGGTGTCCATAGGAGAACCGACACCACTATTAGCGCCCGAGTCTCGCGACCTCGAGCGCCTTCGCTTCGGCGATGGTTCATCTGACTCATCAGATGAACCAAAGATGCTGCGACGCAAAGCATCGTCCATGCCACGCTTGGCAGGCGGCTTGGATTCAATTGCCGTCGATACGGATCCGTCATCCGTATCAGGAGAGTACGAGACACCGAGCTCGTACTCTGTGAAGACACGAGTGTCTTCATGACCAGCGCCTGCATCACCAGGTGATACAGGCTGAGTCGATTCAGCAACCGATGGGACATCAGTTGCTGTAGTTTCTGCTTCGGCGTCCGCACAGAGACGTGCAGACGCGCTCTCGGCGGCCTTGCTCGCGCATCGCATGGGCTTGTTTACCATGCGATGAGATGTTGGAAAGTGGACGCGGACCAACAAGTGCAAACCCTGTCCCAAATGATTTGGGACGAGTATCCATTTAGTCAATCAGTCACTAAAGTGACTGATGGTTAAGGGGGGGGTGATGTAACGGGGTGAATCGTTACATAACAATTTATAAGAAATTGTTAATAGAATATAACTATAAGAGCTATATTCTCAGAATATTGTCATAAGGACAATATTCGGTAGCACTTCCAAGTAGTTCCTAATTGGTTGATATAGGCCATTATATCAACCAACGAAGACGCGCCACGACAGACGCACGCAATGAGTGGTGAGCAGATAACTGATTTACACATTTGTATTTAGACATAGTTAGATGAAGATAAATAGTGATTTATTGCAGACATTAACTATTATAAATACAGTTCTACTTTTTACTCTAACCAAGTACTCGCTTCTTCTTACCGTCTTCCTCTGCACGTACGAGTGTACGTGAAGTTACGAGGCACCGCCTTATTCTGTTATCAGAATAAGTAGCTTGTACTGTCACCAGTACAAGCTTCAGGGTGCCCCGTTACATGTGCGATACTGCAGAGCCACACTTTGACACTTGTTGTCTTCAAACTGGGGTTTTAGTGCACTGCCTCATTTGTAATGTCGCCTGAAAAAACCGCGTTACTGAAACTTTTTTTACTTGCAAACCTGTAGAGCTATCGTAATGCCCTGTTGTGATCGATCGCCATCTTAAAGCCTCTAAAATAGAAGTAGCAGATAAAGCTGATTCGCAAATACTGTCTTCGGTCACGCCAGTTTTTTAAAATTTTTCTAAATGAATCCAGCTCACCGATCAGTTCCCTCAATCTCGAATTTCACCGAAAGTCACAATCGGCGGTTTATGCATCGCCACTTACTTCATTGCGGCAAGAGTATGTGCGGCACTATATAGCGCCTTATACAATGCACGCACTACTTCTCGTACGGCCAGCAAAATTGCGCAAGATTCTACCTTATGATGTGATGGTTTATTTACGTAATGCAAACTAATGTACGCACTCCAACCAACTTCAATTTACATTTGCTACCGCCACAGCAAACAATCGGCTTTTCTTCCAGTACGAAACCGTGGAGTGTGGATTGTAGGCTTGGTTATAACTTTTATAGATTTTGCCATTGGCTGGATTCGGCGGAGGTACCTCCTGCTTCAATGCTGATGCGAATGCTTGATCACCGATGATCCGTGTGTATTATAGGGTTAATACACTTATATTAAATGGCAAAGGTGAAGGTCGCTGTATCGAGCTATGTGTCAGATGCAAGCCTTAGTCAACATTTTTGAAAAACGTTTGTCAAAATGAGATGCCATCCATCATTGGCCTAAACACGTTCATGTCAACTAAGATGCCATTTCAGGATCTCAGCTAAGCTCATATTGGTTAATGAGAAGGTCCTCCAATATTTGAAAAGAGACCATCGTGCATTTCGCACTGAGATACAGTACATTATGATGTATCGAGTCAAAACGTATCAGTGTTACTTACATACTAGGTCGTAACCGAATGATGAACACGTATCGCTCTTGCATCATGATGATCTTGTCTCGGTGCTTGTAACGGGCACCCTTTGCTTGGGGTGCTACGAAACTTCACGTACACTAGTACGTGCAGTGGAAGCTAATCTACTTGAACGACTCGGTCATGTAAAGGTAAAAAGAGAGTAGTATTTAATTTAGTTAAGCTATCAACATAACTTTAATCTTTATCTAACTACGTTAAACTACGCCGTCGTACGACGACAACCTGCTCACCACTCATTACACGCGTCTGGCAGCGATTTGTGGCAATCTATAGTTGATTTGTCTTATTTCAACCAATCTTGGAGCAGCTCATGAATAAATTCCAAAAAAGGAAAAATTTCCTGCAATTTTATCCATCTCGGATAACACTGGCAGGATATTGTCACGCTAGATAGTATTCCTAATGACACCGTTTAATGTCAATACAATGTAACGGGATACCCCGTTTCATCACCCCCCCTTTAAACCATCAGTCATACGTTTATTGAGTTAAATTGATTGAGAACAGGGTGACCACCGTTAGATCGCTCTGGAAGAGAGAGCATTTGTTGGTCGAATTCCATTCGTTTGCCAATCCAACGCGGGGTTTTAAAAACCAAGCGAGCTGCTACCACAGCAGCACGAAGGGCGGCTGCACGCGTGCGTGCGGCCGCGGAAAGAGCCTCTCACACCTCGGGAGCATGCGAATCGTCGTTTGTGTCATGAACAGTCCACGTGCTGAGTCACCACGTGCGACCGGTACATCCTCTGCGTCTGCAGCGGGTACTGCGAGTCGTAATCAAGACGAGTCTGAGATAGAGCTCATCTATTCTGGCGAGTCGGATGATGCATCCGACTCGAAGGCGACGCCTCAAGCCTCACGATCGCCCGGGGCTGACACTGCATGAGTCTGGCTGACTGGCTCTGGTCAACGTGGCGGTATCATGACCGAGATCTTCGATTCGAGTGATTATTCCGATGACTCTCCGCCTCACGCAAGTATGTCTATCAATAAGACGCATGGGGATGGTGGTGATGCACCCATGCATCACCACGAGCGAAGAAATTGAAGGGATCGGGGTAAAACTAGTGCCAGTGCTCATGTTGACACGAATCAAGAGGCCAGGGATCGCAAGGTCCTGCGATACACTCGTTAAGTGGAGTCTCCGTGGATGCCGCCATTTAGAGAGTTGGACCGGTTAACCGGCGTGACTACCGATTGAGATCAAATCCCGTTGTTCGATTGTAGGAAGATTTGCTCACCTTATTCCAGCACGGAAACTATCTGTGCTGAGGAATAATTCTTCACAGATGCATTCTTCAAACATCGGTGGTACAATGGCAGCCGTGTTCGAGACGGGAAGGCCTTGGTGCAACGATGGACTGCCCTCATCCAAAACATCCAGTGCATTGGCCGTGAGGCCTGGCACGGTAAACTTGATGCAGCTCGCATAAGGTTTGAGAAACGCAACCCAGACGGGGTGCGATACAAGCTGCACCGACTTTTAAGAGAGGCAGGATTACAATGTTTCTTGTGGGGTGATTCGTGTCCAGGTTGCCTGGACAACTCGGATCATGCCCCTAGGGAGGCTTATCTCCCTAATGATCCTTACTGGAGGACGCGCATATCTTCCGAGATGGCCGAAGAGATTGACACCTTGCAATCCCTGTACTCACGTTCGGGGAGGTCGTTTTCCGACGGCCCTTCTTCGAACTCAGCGGGTGGGTCTTTTCATATTGCCCGACGCGACCCAGGCCATCAACAATCAGCTGGGCACGAGGCTTCCAGCTGTCCCAGGACGATAAATAGTCACGCTCGGACGAGGTAACTCGTCCAGACGCCATTCACATCGCGGTGGTTCGAAATACGCTCCACTAAAAGCTTCGACCATCGCCAGAATCCACAAAAGGATGTGGTGGCGGCGGCGGGAAAACCTGATTCGGCTCGAGGATCGGATAAACTTGATGTTCAAGCGCTGAACCGTCTAACGGAACAGTTGCAAAATGACCTGGCTCAAAAAGAGACTCGGCGTTATGGGCTTGAGGATATTGTAAAGGAGGATTGCAATTTCCTAACCCATTATTGTTCGGACGATCGTGCCGCGTTTGCGTTCGCGCAACTTGAGAACGAACGTTCGACTCGTTATCTTCGTGATGAGCTGGCTGTAGATCGTCGGGACAAAGCTCAACTGCGTGAACAGGTCGCTTCTCGTGTCGACCAGACTGGCTCGTCGAAACGGGACCGCTCGAAGGTGGTCTCGGCTCTCGACCGTGGAGGTGTTCTTCGCCTCTCGAAACGGGCTCGTACTGATTGTACGGGCGGAGACGACCAACGTGAAACGTAGGATGCGCACACATCTTACGGGGCAGTTCAATCGTGCATGCGTTGCGTATGCGAAGCAACACACTAAATGGACCAATGTACTTGGACAGTAATTTACTGCTGCCCACGTTTGTCACTGCGTGTTTCGGTAGATTCATGTAGACAGTAAAACTAAAGCTCCTTCATCAATGAAAGAACATTTGCTCTTCCATGTTTGTTTACGTCTCTCTTCTGTCTGTCTAGTGCATCTACAATATAGTCTTGAACGAAGCGGACAACCCCTTCGAGAGTTAGCAAAAATTTATCTGCTGACTTATCCTTGTCAACAGCAGTGCACTTCGTGCGCACTGCTGGAAGAGCGTTGTCTTTATTAGTGAGGGAGTTATTTTACTCACTTTGGTAATAATTGGCGACGATGAATATACCAGCATCGTCGTCATCATTGTAATCGATGACGATGTGATCGACATCTGCATCCATCACGTCAATCCCATTGTCGACGTGTGATGAGCGAGAACGAGATCAGTTTTTTTTCGAGCGAGTCCACCCTCTTTTAAAGTAGAGTCACACTTATAGAAGGAGGGTAAACGTGGATGGCGTAGGCCATTCACGAAGGATTGTGTATGTGTCTTAGACGTGTCCACCGAGTTGTTGATGGCGAATTTCGTCATCTGCAAGAACTCACTCCAGCTCGTAAACGAGTGGACATAATGTTGAAGTATCTCTTCGAGGAAGCGGTTGACGCGTTCCGTCTGACCATCTGTTTCGGGATGGTCAGAAGTCGACACCTTCAAACGTGTTCCAAGTGAATGGAACACGGATTACCAGAACTCAGCTGTAAAGCGGGGTTCCCTGTCAGACACGAGCTCACGGGGTAACCCGTAAATTTGAAAGATAGTACCGATGACGACACGAGCACAGCTCTGGGCTGTGATTGACTCCGGTACAGCAACAAGATGTACTTCCTTGCTGAATAGATCAACAACACAAGAATACCATAATTCTTGTGAGCGTCGATGGGAAACCCAAAGACGAAGTCCACCGATACGGACTGCCAACACTCTGCCGGAAGCGGTGGAGGCTGCAAGGGTGCGCGGGATGAAGGACTAGGCTTCACCCGTTGACAAACTTTGCAAGCGTGAATGCATTTGCGCACAGACTTATACGGGCGGGGTTAGTAGAAGTCACGACTTACCGTGAGGTAAGTCTTTCCTTTACCGCGATGCCCACTTGTCGGGTCATCGTGGCACTCATACATGATGCGCAATCGCCAATCATTATGAGCTGGAACGACGACACGAGGTGTGTCGCCAATGGACTGCTGTACTATACAGTAGTCATACCGTTCGGTTGAAGAGCGGTATTGAGACGACAAGCGTTTCAAAGCTTGACTACACGGATTGGATCCGTAATCCATCATTTGCGGAAGACACTCATCTTTTGCGTATGCTCTCCACACGTCGTCGAGCAGATTCGACGGTGGAACACTCACTGTTAGTGTTGCTACCGTGGGATCACCCCTACTGTTGGGTTGAGCAGTCGGCTCAAAATCGGGACGATGCGAAACAAAATCAGCGACAACATTAAGTCGTCCTGGTTTATGCTCGACGGAGAAGTTGTTTTCCGCGAAGAAAGACAGCCACATCGCCATTCGTTGCGAGACTTGTGGACTCTTTACGGCCGTTCTTAATGACGCATGGTCGGCATTAACGATGAAGGGTCTGTCTCCTAAGAAACAGACCCGAAACTTAGTCAGTGCTTATTTCATGGCAAGGAGCTCCTTTTTCATGCACTGGGTAATTTCGCTAAGCTGCTTGCAGCTGACGCGATTGATAACAGGCGACGCGCTCAACGCCGTCTAAGTCGTACTGCATTAACACGCAGCTGATTGCAAAATTGGTGGCGTCACAGACCACATGAAATGGCCTATCATGGTCTGCAATCGCCAACACAGGCGATTGCAGCAAGCTTTTTTATGCATTCAAAAGAGTGCTGACACCCAGCTCTCCATGACCACCTCTCATTTTTCTTTAGTAGACGAGAGAGATGCACAGTCAGCTCGGCATAGTTGCGCGAGTATTTGTGCAAATACGCTGCCAAGACAAGGAAATTTCGAAGTCCCTTGACGTCGACTGGCACAGGCCAGCCGCTAATCGCCTTGATCTTCTCCGAATTAAGGCGTACACCGTTTTTACCCACGATGCAGCCAAGAAGTGGTATTTCGTTCGCTTCGAATATGCACTTCTTGAGGTTCGCGAACAACGTACACTCTCGCATTAGTGTAAGAACCTTCCGGACGTGGATTCTATGAACATCCGCGTCCGTCTTTCCATCCATAACTCGGCTATGGACGAAGACATCATCAACGTAAATCGGTGCAGAATCGCGCACCGATCGCAACAGATTCGTAGCACATGTGCGAACGTTGCGGGGCGTTACTTAGACCCTGTGGCATCACTAACCACTCTTAGAGCATACCACTGTGGGTGCTTACCGCTGTGTACGGGATGTCCCGTTCACGCATGAGGATCTGATAAAATCCATCCATCAGATCCATGGACGAAAAGATGGTACTCTTTGCCATACATTCTATGATGACATCCTTTCTTGGTATCGTCGTTTAAGCCGGTACCGTTGCAGCGTCTAGTTTGTTGAACGCGTGCACTATCCGCCACCCTCCTGCGGCCTTTGCACACAGAAGGTCGGTGAGCTGTGTGGGGATGTTTGTTCCCTCACATGACCAGCCGATAGACGATCGGCGAAGAATTTGTCGGTTGCTGTTACCTGTTCACGAGGCAGTGGCCACTGCATCATGACACAGTATTTCGAATCAGGTTTCAGTTCGATCTCATGCCGAGTGCCTTTGTCCTTAGGCAGCCCGTGTGGTGGAGTTGCGATCACTGAATTTATCAGTCGATCCTAACTCTTCACTGGCGCCCGGACGACCGACTAACGGAGGGGGTGCTCCGATTCCGTGTGTGTTGCCTTCCTCACCTTATGTGCCCGTCGGTAGGGCGGGTTGCACTCTTCCAGGTGGACTCGTGTCGAAGGGCAACTTGACCGTGTTGGGATGGGGTTGTGTTCTGCCAGGTGGACTTGTGTCGGAGAAAAACTTGACCGTGTTAGGGATGGGGTTGTGATCGTGCGGGAATCTTCACGCGATCACGGGGTACTTGTGGGTACTGATATAAGTTACCCTGATCTCAACGAGATCGCCTTGTCCACTCTATGGTTGATTGATCCGCGAACCTTCTGAACACTCGAGCCGTCTCGCGATCTTGCGCCTTGCCTTTACGTGTCTTGCTGCGTCCAACAGCAGTCGATGTTGATTGAGAGTTCTTGAACACACCTGGCCAAAACAATCCAGGTGTGACACTTGCGTAGACGTGTAGCGCGACACTTTATTAGACGGGGGGCCAAAGATTCTACCCGGAAGAGATAACGTGTGCACTGTGAAGTAATTTGAACTCTGTTTAACGTCAACCAACCAACCTAAACCCTACACCTATGTCTATCCGTGTATCCTAACCAGATGCCACGCGTCGCCTTTCCAGGAAGATCACCCCCTTGCATTTGTGTGGTCCACACCCAGTATATTAGCAGTTGTATCTTCATGTGGCCCACCCAAGATATTCCCATGACCCCGCTAGCGGATTGTTATCCTACTAACAAATCGTGATCCTACCAGTGGATCGTGACCCTACTAGTGGATCGTGGTCCTGCTACCGGATCGCGATCCGCTAGTCGGTTGTGATTTACTAGCGGATCGTGATCCTACTAGCGGGTCGTGATCCTACTGGCGGATCGTGATCCTACTAGCGGATCGTGATCCTACTATCGGATCGTGATCCTACTTGCGGATCGTGATCCTACTACCGGATCGTGATCCCGCTAGCGGATCGCAGCTGGAGATCGGACTTGCGATCCTGGTTTAGATCCGCGGTCTTTTAGTGAGAGGGTCTTGTCTTGCCAGGTCTCACGACGGATTGCGTAATCAAAACGGGTGTGGCCAACCTATAGCCTCGTCCCAGGCTGTACGATCCTGTCCACTCGTTATTTGGGTACGCTATTGCCAGCTACCCGTCCCGGCCTGTATCCATCAATCGTAGCATTCTTGGCTTAACTAGAGTGTGCGATCCGTGCGATTGCCGATCCAAGTCCCAAAAATATTTTTCCTTGTGACCGCTTTGCCGCAACCGTCCCCTGCACCGTCAGTCATCATACGGTGCTATCTAGCTGTGCAACCGTGTGTGCTCTATTCCTTTTCACGCACTTTCGCATCTTCTGACACGATGTGCAATCCAGCCCATTCGGATCAGGGTCCTCCTGCTTCGGGATCGGGGCCCCTCGGATCGCCCTATGCGATACCAACTTTAGATGTAGGAACCTCGACGCCTACCAGTCCTGTGATCTCGGACGCCTCCACTGTTCCAGTGGCCGCGTGTGATCGCTCGGCTGTGGTGACGTCGTCCCAGATGGGGGAAGGCTCTGGTTGGTTTTCATCGCGATCCCTATGTCGCGATCCTCTTCGATCTCCGCTCCGGACAGGACCTCCGCCGGCCAAAACGTCATAACTCCGGATCCGAGTGAGCCCATCTTGCTCCCAAACTCGGGTCGAAGCCTCGTGTTCGGTCGATCGAGCCACTTTTAATGCAGCGATGAAATGCTTTACCTTTGCCTGAACCTCCAACACACTGTCGTGGATCATTACCAGATTATGGAGGATGCTTTGGAGGAGCAGATGATCCAGAATCGCCAGCTGAGTGAGGACCTTTAGGAGCTCCACACCTCCGCATCCTTTTTCGTTCAGTTCGTCCAATCGAAGTACGACCGCTTGCGCGATCGCTAAGAAGACGAGGTCAAGCAGTCCGAAGTCGTTCGAGAGGAGTTGGCCGACCGGGTCGACCATACCGTCTTGATCGAGCACCTGAAATCTGAAACTCTCCAGACTGTGCGAGCACGTCATGCCGCACAGAAGAAAGATGATCGTGAGATCGCCGGGATACGTAAGCAGATGGACGAGGCGGGAGAAGAGTTGGTGGCTGAATGCGACAAGTTGTCGCACAGCCTGGACAAGGCCAACAGCAAGAAGTCGAAGTACCAAAAACCGGCCATTTACTCCAAGAGAAGCTGCCTCGTGCGCTCAAACAAGTAGCGGGGCTTGCGGCCGAACTGGGCGTGGCGCTTGATTCTCTATCTACCCGTTCCGCTGAGTGTGATCAATTGCGTCGCATCGCATCGGATCGTGACGTTACGTTGGACCAGATGCGAGTTCAGCCCACGGACGTGGCTTCCGAACGTGATCGCGCAATACGAGATCACACGACTCTTCTGGATCGCATGGCGTCGCTGGTGTCTGGGGATACTTCAGCCACACCTACGAAGGTGGTATTGTCTACCCACACGCCCGTTTTTGCGACTCCTCAGCCGATGTCGAACGGTTCAGGGTTGAGTCGCAAGCGATTTCGCGACCCCCACCCACCTTCAGCTTTGCCGCCTTTCAAGAAAGTGACTCGATCCGCTGCGTCTGTAGATAAGCCGCCCCCAGTTTGCAATCCCAAGGTGGCACGATCCGCTACTGCTACAGCCATGCCGCTCTCAGCTTGTAATCCAAAACCACCGTCCGCTCCCAAGGGAACCCGCGATTATAAGGGTTGTCGCGATCTCAAGAATCGCCATGATCCAGCGAAGCCTGCAGCTGCCCCGAAACTGGGCCAGAAGAGGCGCCGTGGTACAGGCTTAACCTCGTTTAGAGGGAAAGATGCATCGGCAGGTGAGGATGAGACTTTAGCGGCTTTATATAGTTCGCGATCCTCCAGTCGTCGTCGAGCGTCCAATCTGGCGGCACAACCTTTGACTGGACCTTCTCCTGATACGATCGTCGTAGACACGCCGAGCCCTTCGCGCGACACTCCCCCTCCAGTTGATCCTGTTATTCCTACCGTGAACAGGGATCTCGCGCAGACCTTTTCGGAGAAGCGTCCAGCGACTCAAATGGTCCCATCAGCCTTTCTGATTCGCCTCGTGATCTTGTCAATCCGATGTTATCCCTGAAGGATTATGATAGCTTGCCCCCTACCAAGATCTCTCGCGATCAGTGGATCCCTGATTAGCGAGATCGCGTACCGCGATCATACACTCATGTTTCTCTTTGGTAGGCACGCAAGGTCAGTTGGACGAGCGTCGCGGAGATGGATACTAACTTCCTGTACCGCCACTTATCCCGTCCCAAAGGCTATATCTTCCTGACGGTGACGGTGCCCAAGTGTCCTCCTCCCACATCTAAGTGGACACCTAGGCTGGCGTTATTGGCCCAGATCGCGGCCTTAAACGAAGAAAAGCCTTGGGAGACAGCCACACGTCGGATCGCGCCGATCGCCTTCCCTCGTACCGGCTGGTTCGACCAGATCGCCTCTCTATACTTGGAGTGCGAGGATCGAAACTGACAGGCTTTGTGAGAGTCGACGCACGCGATATTCCTTTCCAATGATCAGCGAGATAGCGATCCTGAGCTGGAACAGTTCTGGATTTAGCGGAATCAGCGTCGGTCGCGAGCTGGGCCTCGGTGGAAGGCGATCCTTCGATTCGTCTTGCAAGGTATGATCGCCGGTCATTGTGGCATGGACATTCTGTTGGATCCATTCTTTTTGCACTTCCCTTCTTTCAAAGAGGTTTCCCCTTGGTAACCTGGCCCGGGATGCAAACCGAAGGGCATCCCGAAATTATTGCTGCTTTCTCGTTGCTGGATGCCGCTGAATCTTGGCGTTACTAGTATCGGTCCTCTATCGGCGACCACCCCGGGTCATCGATTGTACGATTGCCAGGTAAGTTCGTTCCTGCTTTATCGCTAGAATTCGGTTCACATAGGCCCATAATTCATTACAATCTCTCTTAACCCTTCATCTTGTTCTTCATCTTGAGATCAACTTCTTTCTTCAACTTTTCAAGCGCGATCGGATCCCTTCGATTCGCTATCGCCAGACATTTTACGTTAAGCCCCAATCCATCATTTCGTGCAACCTCCTTGTACACATGCCCACCCACCATTTCAAGTCCACCTTTTAGCATGCGCCAACCGCTTATCGCTTCTGTTACCCTTTAACCTTTGATTTTCTCCTCATCAGACTGCATAACTTCAAACCGGTTTTGACTTGCGCGGTTGCGCTCGAAATGTTGCAACAACGCACCACAGTTCAGGTCCGCTTCGTCTATTCAAGTCGGATCGTCGTTTTGCTTTTATTTAACCAAAAACTGTTGATGCACTCGGCCATAACGATTTTTACGTCCTGCTCGTACATCCAAAATTTTCTCCACTTCGTTTTCGTCAGCAGCCAACTCGTTTTCCCAACTATCTTCCGGCAACAACGACTAATCGAAATTCACACGATACTCACAGTCAGTCACCAGCACACTGACTGGGCGATCGTGAAACTGTACTATTGGCTTTAACTTGGAGACGTGCACTATTAAGACCAATCGTTATGGAGTTCCTGAAATTTCCACCCGAACAGCATGATCCCCACATAACTCCGCCACTCGAAACGGTCCACGCCACATATGTGCTAACTTTTGAGCATAGCCGTCTTTGACTCGGTCCAAATAGAGCCAAATTTGCGATCTGCACTAATGTCACAAACTTCATTATTGTCATAGTGTCCATCCGCTCGATCTTGGATCGCGATCTTGAGACGTTCGTTTACCATTGCTCATGGCCTCTGATCTTGACTTTGGACGATATATCGACACCTTCTAGGGTCAGCATCGCGTGTTTTAGTGCTCCCCAACACTAATGTTGCTTCCAATGTCGATCTTGGATCCCAGTCATGGATTAAATAAAACGGAATGTATCCACGGATCCAGTTATTTGCCGTATTCACAACGAATGTCAATCTTTCTACATATTCATCCCAGTCTTTCTATTCTGCGTCCGTGACATACATCTTAATCGACCGAGTCAACGTCTGCACGATACGCTCCGCAGTTCCGTTCGCTTGCGGTCGGTACGCCATGGTTGCACGTTGTTTTTGCCCTGCGTTCCGAGTAAATGCTCGAAAAAAGTCGGACATAAATCCAGGCTCCTTTTCGTGACGTATCACTTCACTGGCTCCAAATCTTTGAAACACACATTCTTCATTTCCTGCAGTCATCGTTTGCGCGGTCCTCGACGAACTTGCTCTCGCGATCATATCCTGAGAAAGGATCAACCAACAGCAGCAGTTCTGTATTTTCTTATAATGAACGCGGCAATGATGGGATTTTATCCATCGCGATCACCTGAAATGGGTATGTAGCCTGCATATTTCTCAGGGATCTGCCAAGGATCGCGGGTAGACCCTTCCCGATTGTACAGTTAACGCATCCGCCAACATAACGTTTTATACTCCGATACAATCCTCTTCAGTAAAAATTGAATCTGATCCGCTGATAAGTCCTCCCGATCCCCTGATGACCACCCTCCAAGTTTGTGTCGTAATAATGCAAAAACTCTTGCTGCAACAATTCCGGTACAGGCAGACGGAACGTCTGTATATGTTTGTTCGATCCCTTAGCGGATTGGGGGATGAAGAACAGCAATCCGTTTTCGTCCACTTTGTAGTATGGAGCAATCCGAGCAAAAAATTGTATCCTCTGTGTTTAACTGGGTCAGGTCGCCCACAAGATATTTCTTCAGGTAGGCGATACAGCTCTCTTCCTCTTGCGCTTGTTTTATCCACTCGTTCCGCATCCGCTGCACTGTTTCTTCTTGTAAAACTTCGGGTTGTTGACCCCTTCGCCGATCGCGTGTTAAAAATGATAGCGATTGTGTGATCGCTATCATTTTTACCACGCGATCCGTCTTTTCCGACAGAAGCAACTCGTGTAACCTGTTGAGTGATATTAAATTTTGCAATTCTTGATCTAAGCCTACAATGACACCTTCCTCTTGCTGCAAACCTGCACTGAATAGTCGATCCTCACTTTGGTTCCACTCCCTCTTCATGTGTAGGGACTCGTGTTTTGGACAAGATCGAAGTTTCTGCATTGCTTTATGACGCAATAACTGTATCCCGGGTGCTTTACAATCCTTCTTTCCCCGCATTTGCCTGATCACTAGGTTCGAGTCACCCCATGTAGTGACTCTTCCCCTCGTTTGGTTGTCCAGCGGATAAAGACCCAACAACATGTCACGATCTTCTGCTGCATTAACCGTCAGATCTGCCGCGTATTATTAAGCGGCTGAGATGATGGTCTATTCTGGTAGCTTCCACACGATCGCACTACATGCCCCGCTCTTCGGTTTAGTCCGTGCCGATCCGTTGAAACTGACCACCAACAGGCATTCATCCGTACCTACCGCGGGAGGTAGCACAGTTACCAATTGTTTAGGTTTCTTCTGTGGAACGATCGCAATCAACACATCAACTACTTCATCTCGCGGAGTTATACTAGCTGCGAGAGCGCCTAGTATTTTACCCTCTCGTTTGCTACATCTCTTACCTCTAGTGTCCAATTCGATAGCAGCGCAGCTCATCTTCCCAGTCTTCCACTGGGGCCAGAAAAATTGAACTAGCCAAGCTTACGTCGATTGTGGAGTGAGCACCCTGATCTCTCGGGATACAAGCATGGTGTAGCACACTTCCAAGATACGAAGTAGGGATTTCTCCACTATACCAAAAATAACTTCATTAGGCCTCAGTGTGCGACTCGTGAATGTCACTGGCCAGTATACGCCGTCATGTTCTTGCAAAAGAGATGCCGATACTGCTCACTCCACTAACTAAAATATACCGCAATCACTGGAAGTCGATCTGGATCGAAATGTTTGAGGATCGGGATTGTAACGATCTTGGCCTTGGGCAAAGTGAATGCAATGGCGGCCCTTTCCCACCGAGATAGATCATTTGGATCGTTCTCACCTCCTTGAAATGTGTTTTCGCAACTTCCCGACATAGTATCACGATCTCCCATATAGATTATGTCGAAAAAAAATCCTCCTCTCGTAACTCGTACAACACAGATGCATGTAATGTAAAATCTTCTATAAAACGACAGTAATAGTTCAAGCTACCCAGGAACAATTGCATGGATCTCAAAGTTGTAGGAAAAGTTATGTTGACCAGCGATCCTAGATCTTTAGGATTGGCCTCCGACCCAGCTAAAGATACCTGATGACCTAAGTAATCCACCTTACGCCGTCCCTAAAAACACTTGGTCAGACTGATCGTCAAATTCCATCGATCGCATGCTGTCATCAATCTTTCGACCTTGTTTGAAAAAGATGTTAATGACTTAGCCGTAATCGTTATATCGTCAATAAAAGATCGCCAACTATCACTGATGGCGCTTGATCCGTTTCCGGCTCTCCCTCAGTAAACACATCAGTTAACTTAGGATGATCCGTTGCACTCACATCCTTATCTGCGCCGATCTTGAGATAACCATGTAAAGCAATATCAATCAAACGCTGATATATGTGTAAGGCGTTCTTAAATCCAAAAGACATCCACAACCATTCGAACAGACCTGACGGTGTGCTAAACGCAGAGATCGACATGCTCTTTCGGTCATCTTTCCCACCTAAAATCCACTCGCCGTGTCAAGCGAACAATACCACATTGCTTTGTTCATGTCCTGCACCAAATCACGGAAAAGTCGGATAGGGTACACCATCAGCTGTGTTAGCTGATTAACTCGTTGATAGTCGATATACAGTTGGATATCCTCTCCGTTCTTTTTAATAATCACGACTTTTGGTGATGTTCACGGCTTTGTCGAAGGTTGAATAATCTTGGCTGACAACAGGACTTTTTTGAGATCGGCCAACTTCTCACAAAACTTAGGCGCATAAGGTCGTGCACGCTGAGCGATCGGCCTCGCCTCTCCCACATCGATATCGAAAACGGCCTCGCGTGCTGCAGGGGGTAATGCACTTTCTTTCCCGATCAACAGGTGACGAATCTTCCATATCATTCTTCGCAAATCCTCTTGATCCTCTGTCAGGGGTATTCCAGGATCGCCAACCTGGACATCGTCTATTGTTATCTCGGTCGTGGATATAATTACCTCCGACAGTA